CACCGGGGACTGGCAGCCGAGAAGCACCGGGACTAGCCTGCCCACGGTCCCCGGCTTCTCACAGGATGCAGATGACGTTGCACGTCCAGCATGGCTGCAGGGAGCAGGGTGTCCACACTGCAAGGCCGGGCAGTTCGGCAACCTCGTGCTCGACTGATTGTTTCTTCCACGTATTTCTTCCAAAACGTGCTAAAGGCCCCTTCCCTTCCATTTTAGGCTGTCCGTGGGCAAACCAGCCAGGGGTGGCTGCAGCAGTGCTGCTGGGGACTCCCCCCACAACATGGCAGCTGGGGTGAGCCCCAGAGCACGGGGATGCTCGCCGGGGAGGGGGCGATACTGAAAAGCACCCGCAGAGCCCGTCCCGAGCCACAGAGAGCCTGGGAGGGGCATCACGGGGGGCTGAGCCCCCCCATGCTGGGGCAGGCAGCAGTGCAGGCTGTGCTGCTGGGGCGCAGGGGAAGGGGGGAGCCGGCTCCAGGCAGGCCAGCCCAGGGATGCTGCTGGGGACCTCCCGGGACAAGGCAACAAATCTGGGGTCCTGAGAGCCCACACCCACCTCCAGGCTGGGGCAAGAGCCTGGCCCTGGCATGACCTTCCAGCTGGGCTTCCAGCCGGGCACAGCCCCCAGCCCACCCTGAAACAGCCGATGCCAGTGGCCGGGAAGGTGCAGTTGGGCTTCTGCCGTGCCAGCCCGCGCTGGCTTTCCTGGGGTCCCTGCCCAGCCACTCTGGCCATGTCCCTTCTCCATCTCATGTCCCCACCTGCTCCTTGGCCCCCCTCAGCCTCAGCCTTTTAGGAGAGTGGCCCTGGGGATGGGGACGGCAGGGATGCCAGTGGGGAAGCGCGTCTGGCCCCTGCCTCCTTCCGCAGGCAGGCTCAGCAGGAGGCAGGAGGGCTCTGCAGGGCTGCAGCAAGATCCCACACTGCAGCCAGGATGAGACCCAGGATGGGCAGCGCTGGGCTGCCTGCCCCGGTCCCTGGGGACCCTCTGCATCCCTGGCTGCGCGGACGGACCAGCAGAAAGGAGATTTGCTGCATGGCACCTGGATGTGCTCAGGGGAAGGTGGCGAGGATGCAGCTCCTCGTGAGCAGGGCAGGCACTGAGCTGAGGGGGCCGAGACCCAGTTCCTGAGTGCTGGGGATGGGGAGGAAGGGAGCCAGCCCCTCCCCACGCTCTGCAGGGAGTGGGTGGGGAAGGGCGAGCGTCCTCGTCATCTCCGGATGGAGCCACAGGCCCAGGGCAGCCCCAGTGGCTCCGTTGTCAAAGGGACCAGGAGGAGGAGGGGGGATCTCTGGCCTCGCCGTGGGGAGGGGGTCAGATGCTCCCATAGCCAGGTGCCCCTGTCCCCCGGGGTGTCATCTCTTGCAGTCGTCGGTGTCGGTGTCCGGCAGCCCGGGGGCGGGCTGGGAGCTGGGCTGGACCGCCTGCACCCTCTCCTCCAGGCTGCCGCTGGGGAACACCACATAGCGGGCGCTGACGCGCTGCGGCCGGGGCTCCCGCAGGTTCTCCTTGCTGTGCCAGATGCCGTAACCGAAGTAGACGAGCAGGCCTGCAGCGGGGGACAGGGAGAGCAGCGGCTGGAGCAGAGGCCAGCGGCCGGCACGGATGCAGCCAGCATCCCTGCGTAGCAGCACAAGCAACGGCACCGGGTGGGCTTACACCAGCTGCCTGCAGGTGGAAAAGGATCCTGCAGTGTGTTAAGAGCACGGGGTGTAACCCCAGTCCCTGGGGAGGGGAAGCCCCTCGCTGGGAAGGGCTCCTCAAGCCCCAGGGAGCCACCTCGGGAGCAGCGGGTGGTTCTGGCCCAGAGCTTGAAGGAGGATCCAAAGCTTAACTGGAACAAACCGTAACACT